ATGGACAAGAGAGCATCATGTGCACCTGAAACATCACTCAAACTCCAGCAAAGATAAGACAAAATGCATTGGCATTTGCCAATGTCTTACTAGCTCTGCACTTAGATGGCCACTTATTAATTAAGATCCATCTAATGCAAGCTTCATTCTCTAAATGCAAGCAAGTTCTTATCCAGAATCAATACAATACATTTAGGCATTCTCATAATCAATATGCAACAACCTTAAGTGATTCTAATGCAAGCTAGCTGGATAAGAATTTTAATCTAACATCCTAGCAACACAAGTCATTAAGAACCAGGCTAAGCCATATTATTATGAGCCATCAGACCATGCATTAACCTTAATCAGATTCTATTCATGTATGCACACAGATTCAGAACAAACCAATATCATATTATGCAACATTAAGAACCGGAGCAAGCATTTTTAAATTCACATACACCAAACAAGACTTTTTAACAACCACGGATAAACCACATAATTTTTCAATTAATAATCTCTAATATTATCCTCAGGTTTGACAAACACTACACACCACACCAACCAGCACATCATACTCAAGCTTTAGACAAAAGGAAAGAACTTTCTTACAGCCAAGGATCATTGTATAGATCCTTGATTCCATTGGACAGATTTTGAGTCATTGGTGTGCACTCCAACTCCTCTATCCTCCATGGACCTTTCCCTTGAACCCGCCATGGCAAAGACACCTCCTTTCTTCATTCTCAAGTCGCCAAAACAAGTACCAAGCAGAAAGCTTTCACCTTTCTTCTTGAATCACCATTTGGAACCCCATGGATTAGCCTTTGAAGATGATTGCCAATCCACTTCAAAGCTTTGGTCTTTAGGGTCTCCTTTCTTCAGGGCGTGTATGAGAGGTCAGGATAGAGCAAGNGATTTTCAGAGTACAAGGCTGTGTGTGAGTGTGAGAAACAACAAAGCCTTTACAAGGCAGATTTGAGCTTAGTTTGGTTATGGAAATGGAATGATGGTATGTGTGTGTATCAAGACCAGAAATGAGATGTATAAGAGATTATAAGATAGATTAGGAGATTTATGTATAAGAAAGGGAGAGATTAAAGGAATTCTAGCCACGAACACACACGTTTTATTATGAAGAAGATGGGGAAAATCCCCTCATTCAGCTTAAGCATCACAATCTGCATACAATGAACTTATATAGCTCTTTACAAACTGAAACCATTAACCTACATCTAATGGCCAAGACTAAGGCTCTTGTGAGTGAAGAATTCAGGTTTCTTCCCCGCCTTAAGTTGAAAATCCCCCCATTCTTTGTGTCTTCCCTTCACTCATGGCTTCTTGGCTTCTCGTTCTGGTCAGATCACACGTCCACCTTCTTCTTGTCTTCTTGAGCATCCAAGTAAGGTACTCCCTTGTCTAGATAGTGAGGAGTGGCTTCTCTTTGGTCAGCCACTTGTATCCTCACTCACTGAGCTTCACTGCTCCATATCTTATCATGCAAGCTCATTCACAGACGGACATAGCGCCTTTCATCCAAACCGAGTGAACTTGGAAGGTTATATGCTTTCGAGGATGTGAACTCCCTCAAAGACTATGTTCTTTATCTTCATATGTTTTTTTTTGCTTCATCTTTTTAATGTAAAAAATGTGGATATGGATACAAAGTTTTAATATACATTTATGTCCACATTTTTATCGTCCACAAAAAAATAATACGGAACATTATTTTTAAATTTTAGATGAAAATGTATGTTCTTTCAAAAACCCTCTCCACACAATTTTACCCTTATTTTTTCTCGTAGTTGCAATTCGTTCCAGTTTCAAAAAGCAGCAAAATAAATTTATATTATGTTTGGTCCCTACAAACCAATCAAAAAAAAAAAAAAAAACTCTAACTATGGTCATCATTCGGTTCAGTCAGTGAGGGACAATATGGTCCAAAATGTGTTGAATCATGAGATAAAGTGTTCTTCCAGCAACATGTGTCTTAACATGTCAAAAAAGTACAAAAAGTGTCCTTTTTTGAAACGCACTCTTTTTAGAATATGTTGTAACCGATTGGTTCTGATTGAATTAGAACTACTTGGATTCCAAATTCACAAATTGAACCGATCTAAATTGGTGAAAAGAGGTGATAAATAAACTTTACACTAGGTGATTTTCCCGTGCTCATGCACGGACATAAATATTTATAATAGTTGATTGATATTTACTTTAACTTTTATATTAATTTATAGTTTTTATGTATAATTATATTAATAATATTATATTATTTTAGTTATATATAATTTTAGATATATTATATTTAGTTAGTTTATCATTTGGATATATATATATTGGATTCTATCTATTTCTCTGAATTCAACTATAATCTTTTTTATTCTAAATATCTTAAACTTTTGATTAATTGTTTTATTTACATTTATGTTGGTTATTATCTTAGAAATATAAGTATATCTTAGTAAGATTATGTATTTTAATATTTTTTGTGCTTAGAACGAAAAAAATAAAAACTAAAGTGTCTGATTCTAAATTACATACATAAGTAATAATAAATTTTCAGAAGCTTATGAAAACATATCAATATTTACAATAATTAAATATTTTAGAAATTTTAAATAATTTATGCCTTAGATTGATTGGATGGTAAACTGAAATTTATTTTTAATAATTTTTAAAATAAAGAATTATAATTTTCTTAAGTATTTTGATTATGGTTATATTAAATTCCACAAACATAAAAACAGAAAATTAAACATCAAAAGAGTTATTAAAAACAAATATAATTTTAACTATTAAAATATAATATATCTACCTTGTTAAATTATATAGTGTTATGATATTTTAAAAGAATTGTAGTTATCTGATCAAAAGATGTTTACCATTAAATTTATTTTTAGTTTTGTTTTTAATATCTCTTAAAATATGCAGTAAAAATGTGATTGTTTTTGAGAAATTATATTATATAAGTAAAATATAATTTATATTTTTTGTTGTAACGGTAAGATATTATAATCAAATAAATATAATAATTATAATTTTTTCGTCAATTAAACATATATCAGTTTATGTTACTTAATTATTTTATGTAATCATCTAATAAAATAGATAAATATATACAAAAACTAATTACTTTGCAAATATATATTTTATTGTTTAAATTATTTTTTTAAAGAAAAGATATTTCTTTTTCTAATATTAAGATTATTTGTATGAATTTTTTTTATGAAAACACATTATATACAAATATTTTTTTCATCTAAGAAGATATAGATATAAAGTATAATTACTTAAAAAGTATAATTTATGTTATTTAAAAATACATTCAAGTTAAATATTACTATTTTGTAAATTTTCCTTTTTTATGAAACCATATTATATATATACTTATTTTTCGTTTTTAAATAGTTTTGTAAATTTTAGAAATATTTCTTTTTTGTTTTATATTGTTATTTGGAAGATTTTAAAAAGGAAATAATAATATTTAAATATATTTTTAATTCATTAGGGGTATCATAGTAATCAATCAGCGTGAGAGTTAACGTGAGCGCGACACCTAAGAAAGTGACTTCTCAAATAATATTATAGAGATTATTTGATCTATAACAATATTTGAGAAGTAAATTTGCTTAGTTGTCAACTTCTCCATGATTTTAGGTTATTTATGCTTATTTTCATGTTTTAATAATTTATTATATAATAAAAACGAATTTCTGTTAATAATATTATATTTTTAGAAATATGTTAATTCTTATGTATTAGATTGTTATCTTAAAAATATATTTTTTCAATTATTATTTTGAAGTAAATTTGCTTAGTTGTCAACTTCTCCATGATTTTAGGTTATTTTTCTTATTTTCATGTTTTAATAATTTATTATAAAATAAAACAGAATTTCTGTTAATAATATTATATTATAAAATAAAACAGAATTTATGTTAATAATATTATATTATAAAATAAAACAGAATTTATGTTAATAATATTATATTTTTAGAAAATATGTTAATTCTTTTGTATTAGATTGTTATCTTAAAAATATATTTTCATTTATAAAATTTAAGTGAATTTTCTGATTAGTTTGTAACTTTCACGTTGAAAGTTAGAGCGGTTAATATCGTTTAGATCCTTAATGAATAATTAATTTTTTTAATATAATTAAACATAAATAAAAAACGAATTTCAATGATTTTAGATTTATCTTTATCTAAAACTATTTTATATTGGGTTATAAAGTCTTTCTTAACCTTGAAAATAATTATATTAGTTAATATATAATTAATTATAAATTAAAAACGAATTTCATTTATTTGATAATTATCCTAATTTTATTTTTTTTATTAGTGATAAAGTCTTTATCAACCTTGAAAAATAATTATATTTGTTAAAATATAATTAATTCTAAATTAAAAAATGAATCTCATGAATTTGATAATTATCTTTATCTAACTTTTTTATATTGTGTTAAAAAGTCTTTATTAACGTTGAAAAATAATTAGATTTGTTAATACATAGTTAATTATGAAAAATAAATTCGCAAAAAAAATTATGTATAGATAATTTCTATTGTGTTATCCAAAACATTATTAAAGATAATTTTTTATACTTTTTTGTTATGTCTAAAAATGATATTAATTTGTTACTAAATGTTTTAATTTCATGAGTATTTTCAAATATAAGTTGTGTAATGAAAATTATTTATATGATGATGAAAAATTTTATATATAGAAAGAATTTGTTTAATTTATTATTAAATATTTTGAGTCAATGAACTATAATTTATTATAATTTACATAAATTGATTATATATTTATTTATAGATATCTCTATAATATTATTTGAGAAGTCACTTTCTTAGGTGTCGCGCTCACGTTAACTCTCACATTGGTTGATTACAATGATACCCCTAATGAACTAAAAATATAATTAAATATTATTATTTCCTTTTTAAAAATTTCCAAATAACAATATAAAATAAAAAGGAAACATTTATAAAGTTTATAAAACTATTTAAAAACGAAAATATAAGTATATATAATATGGTTTCATAAAAAAGGAAAGTTCACAAAATAGTAATATTTAATTTAAATATATTTATAAATATCATAAAATATACTTTTGAAGTAATAAAATACTTTATATCTGTATCTTCTTAGATAAAAAATATTTGTTTATAATGTGATTTCATAAAAAAAAAGCTCACACAAATAATCTTGATAATAGAAAAATAAATATTTTTTCTTTAAAAAAATAATTTTAAACAATAAAATATATATATATATATATTTTCAAAATAATTATTTTGTATATATCTATCTATTTTAAAATAATTAAATAACATAAACTGATATATGTTTAATTGAAATTTTTCATAATTAGTATTATTGAAATTATTTTTTAGTATATTTATTTGACTATATTATCTAACAATTACAGTAAAAATATATATTTTACTTATATAATATAATTTCTCCTAAACAATCACTTTTTGTACTGACTATTTTAAGAGATATTAAAAATAAAGCTAAAAATAACTTAATAATAAACATCTTTTGATCAAATAACTACAATCAATTTAAAATATCACAACACTATATAATTTAACGAGTTAAATATATTATATTTTCATAGTTAAAATTATCTGTTTTAAAAAGAAGAATTGTGATTTGCTTAAGTATTTTGATTATGGTTATATTCAGTTTCACAAACATAAAAACAGAAAATAACTACAATTATTATAAAATACCATACACTATATAATTTAACGAGGTCAATATATTATACTTAATAGTTACAATTATCTGTTTTCTTAATAAATCTTTTGGTTTTTAATTTTCTGTTTTTATGTTTGTGAAACTTAATATAACTATAATCAAAATATTTAAGCAAATTAGAATCCTTATTTTTAAAATGATTTAAAATAAATTTCAATTTACCATCCAATCAATCTAAAGCATAAATTTATTTAGAATTTATAAAATATTTTATTTATTATAAATATTCATATGTGTTCATAAGCTTCTAAAAATTTATTAGTTACTTATGTATGTAAATTAGAATCAGACAATTTAGTTTTTATTTTTTCATTCTAAGCACAAAAAATCTTAAGTTATATATAATCTTACTAAATATACTTATATTTCTAAGATAACAATAATCATAAATGCAAATAAAACAATTAATCAAAAATTTAATATATTTAAAAGAAAAAAAAAAGATTATAGTTGAATTCATAGAAATAGATAGAATCCAATATATCCAAATGATAACTAAATCGACCGTAAAAACAATAAAACTAAATATAGATATCATATTTAATTATATATATAATTAAAGTAATATAATATTATAATATAAATTAGACATAAGAAATATAAATTAATTTAAAATTTAAGTAAATATCAATGAATTATTATTGTATATTTATTTTCTAAATATTTATGCCCGTGCATGAGCACGGGAAAATCACCTAGTTAGTTAAATTATTAAGCCCGCAAGTGCGGGCAAAACACCTAGTAAACTTATTTAGATAGCCGAAATCCGAATTAAAACCAAAATGAAAATTGCAAATGCGTTCAGCCGGATTGTGTTACAGTATCCGAGCTAAACTCGAACATAATCCAAACTGAAGTTTAGCAGATCCGAAGAACTGAAATCCAATTGGACATCAACATGCCTAGTAATTTTAGCAATCCAAATTCACCAAACTCGTAACCTTTGTCTTACCAGGCCTTATGATTTAATCCCATAGGCCCAAATAAGGCCCCAACACACTAATTTGGGCAATCATAGACAAAATTAGGGTCACTTGTCGACGACTTATTAATTTGAACAAGTTTTGAGATTAATTGGTCGATTCCTTCTCGTCTGCTCCTTAAGATTATTGCATTTCATTTTCATGTTTTCTCTGATAATCCGTGGAAGAAAGTCACCTGAGTTGCACAAATGGCGTAACTTAGTAGTCTCAGTGAATTTTCTTGCTTTTTCCAGTTCCTTCTCCTCTGCTAGTGCTGCTGCTGATGTGAGCCTTCAAGATGGTCAAAAAGGTAACAACTTTACCGTCTCTTACCTCGTTAAATCTCTGGGCTTCACCACCAAACTTGCTGAATCGATCTTGAGGAAGGTCAGCTCAGATGATGCCCACAAGGGCAACCCAGATTCTGTTCTGTCTCTTCTCAGTAGTCATGGGTTTACATCTCCTCAGATCTCCACCATCATTAAAACTTATCCACGACTTCTCTTACTAGATGCTGAGTCATCACTTGCCCCCAAGCTTCGGTTTCTAACCTCAAGAGGAGCATCGACCTCTGAGCTCACCGAGATTCTCTCAAAAGTCCCTAAAATCCTGGGAATCAAAAAGGACAAAGCTTTGAGCAGATACTTTGATTTCGTCAGAGAGATCATAGTAGCCGACAAGAGTTCCCTAAAGTTGTCTCATTCTTTGTCCGAGGGCAGTGCACAGGGGAACAAACTCAGGAATGTATTGGTTTTGAGAGATATGGGCGTGCCTCAGAGGCTGTTACTCCCTTTACTCATCTCTAACCACCACGCCTGCTGTGGGAAAGAAAAGTTTGAAGAAACCTTAAAGAAAGTCGTTGAGATGGGTTTCGAACCCACCACCTTCAGGTTTGTTGAAGCTCTCCGCATGCTTTACCAGTTAAGCGATAAGACAATAGAAGAGAAGCTTAGTTTTTATAAAAAGTTGGGCTTTTCTGTGAGAGAGGTATGGGAGATGTTCAAGAAGAATCCGAGCTTTCTGCCACTCTCTGAGAAGAACATACTGAACTCGATTGAAGCGTATCTCGGTTTAGGGTTTACTAGAGATGAGTTTGTTATGTTGGTCAAGTGCCATCCTCAGTGTTTTAATTACTCTGCTGAGCTGGTTAAGAAGAAGACTGAGTTTCTGGTGAAGGATATGAACTGGCCAGTGAAAGCTGTTGTTTCGAACCCTACAGTGCTTGGTTACAACTTGGAGAAAAGGACTATCCCAAGGTGTAATGTAATCAAAGCTCTCATGTCTGAAGGTTTTCTCGGAAGTGAACTCCCTTCACTTGGCTCTGTTTTGGTATGTACGGACCGTGCCTTTTTGAAAAGGTATGTGATGAAGCATGGTGATGATAAGACGCTTGTGGCTAAGTTGATGGCTATCTTCACCGGAGTTCATGTTTCATAGAAGATGTAGAATGGTTAAGGGCTGTCAAGGGCTTTTCTATAAAAGCTGTGAAGAATGGGAAGCAGACATTTATTATAAATCTCTGGAATGCGCAATGTATACTCTGGCAATCTTTTCTGAGTGCCTAGAAAAGTGTAGACATGTGATGGTTTGGTTAGTCAGGTTGCTTAAAATATACTGATTAATGCTATGTGCTAGTTTGGTTGATATGATATGAACAAACAACTTTTGAGAGATTCTTCGGTGACAACTGTATTTCCAGCCAAGGTGAAGTGTTTTAGCTCTTACATAGTTACATGGAGAGAAAAAGAATCTTTTGATTTAGTTTAATAATAGAGTTTCTAAAAAAGAAAATTATGTTTTGATAATGCTCAAACACGAGTTAAAATAGTATATGGTGAAACAAGAGTCTGATAATTTCATTTTAATGATTTATCAGGTTGGGCTGAACACTAAGTACGGTTAGGCAAGTAGTCTAGCAAGTACGCTGCGAATTCAAACCATGTTGCCGTCTCAAATCAGATCTGGTCTAGGTTAGGTTGGACCAGTCCAGCATGAACTGAAGAGGATGATCTTCAAAAACAAGCCGTATTAATATCTTTGTTGGAATTTTTTCACGTTCTGAGTGTTGTTATCAATATCACTTGTCCATCGATTTGTGCTGTATTTGTTTCACTTGTCCATCAATTTGTTGTATTCAAGTAATTTAAATGTTGAAGATCTTGAAAGAACAACGATCTCAAACAATAAGAATCTGTGGATTACAGAATGTAGCAAGATTTTAGAGAGATTACAAATATTTTTCTGAATGAATATAAAAAAGATGGGGAAAATCGCATAAAAAACCTTCAAAGTGAAACTTACTAGCACTTTAAACCTTGAAGTTTTTTCACTAGCACTTTAAACCTTTAAAATGACATTTGTGTCACAAAAAACCTTAAACTAGAAAATCTGACCTGTTTAACAGGTATTTATCAGTTTTTTTAAAAATAAAAATTTAATCAATAATAAAAAATTAATTAAATTTCCAAAAAAATAAAAAAAAATCAGAACATAAAGCAAAATTTATAAAAAAATAATTTGAAATACCAAAAATTAAATAAAATTCCGAAAATTCAAAACAAATTAAATAAAATTTAAAAAATTGAACAAAAAATAAAAAAAAATAAACAAAAATCAAATACTAAATTAAATTTTCAAAAAATTAAAGAAAATTTCTGAGCATAAATAAACATTTAAAATAAAATGAAAACAGTTTGAAACCGTCATCGTCAGTAGTGATATATTTGAAATTTTTATTCTCAACTATAATATTTCAGTTTTTTTTTAAATAAAATGTTGTATTTTTTATAATTTTTTCCAATAAAATTGACATATCATCGTTGACAATAAAAATTTCAAACATAGCACTGTTGAAGTTCATGGTTTCAAATATTTAAAAACATAATCTTGTAATTTTCTAAAAATTATTTTGAACTTTTGAGTTTTCAAATTTGTGAATTTTGTTTTAATTTTCTGAATATAACATAATTTTTAATATTTCAATTTCTTTTTCTTTTTATAAATTTTTCTTTCTGTTCTGAAATTTTCTTTAATTTTTTTGAAAATTAAATTGATTTTGATTTATTTTTTTTGCTTATTTGTTATATTAATATTTATTTCTCGGAAAAACCTAATAAATAAAATAGGTAATTTATTAAATATATATATTTAAAAAATTTCTTTATGTTCTGATTTTTAATTTAATTTTTTGGAAATTTAATTTAGTTTTTGATTTTTATTTATTTATTTTGTTCAATTTGTGAATTTTCTGTAATTCTTTAAAAAAAATTAGAATTTTATTTAATTTTTGGTATTTCAAATTATATTTTTATAAATTTTTCTTTATGTTCTAATTTTTTTCTTTTTTTGAAAATTTAATTAATTTTTTTTTTATTGATTAAATTTTTATTTAAAAAACTGATAAATGACCTGTTTTACCTGTTCAACAGGTCAGATTTTCTAGTTCAAGGTTTTTTGTGACACAAATGTCACTTTAAATGTTTAAAGTGCTAGTGAAAAAACTTGAAGGTTTAAAGTGCTAGTAAGTTTCACTTTGAAGGTTTTTTATGCGATTTTCCCAAAAAAGATGTATAACAACTATTTATATTTTTTTTTTATTAATCTGGGATATCTCAGATCTACGGAGAGACGCAGAGTAATCCCTAATAAGAATGTAATCCATGGATAAATTCTATGTTTAGGCATTCAGATGGACCTAAAACATAAGTCCATATCCGTATTAGGTGATAAGGAATAATTGTGACTTAGTTTGGTGGATCGAAACTAAAACATGTTGGTATCCCAGCCATGCCTCCTTACCACTCGACCATAACCACACAAAAAAAAACTATTTATAGTCGAATTGACTCGTTAACTCGGTGACTCCAGCTCTTCCATATTTCCATTAGATTTCCTTCCGTCGGTAACAACCACCACAATTTTCCCTACTAATCATTTTCCTCCTTCCATGTGTCGAGTATCATTAAACTGTAACAAATCTCTCTCCTTAAGAGAATCTTGTCCACAAGGTTAGACTAAATTGTATAGAAATTACCATGATGCTTCATCTTCCAACTAACCAATCCATTTGACCAAAATCATAGTAGATGTCTTATCACCACGTTTAACAATCTTCCTTCCCAAATGGTATTTTGGTTCTTTCACCGAATCAGAAAAAGTCATAGAAGGAAATTGTGTTGATGTAATCACATTCCCCACCACTTCCTTGAGATTAGACGCGTGAAAAAACTAGATGTACTCTTGAATTCGTAGAAAGGTTCAACTTGCTAGCCATAGTTCCAAGCTTATCTAGTACCTTGTAAGGGCCAAAGTATTTCAGAGTTATCTTCTTATTAGACCGCATCACGACAAATTGGTGTCTATATAGCTGTAACTTGACATAAACTAAATCACCAATGTCAAAACTCCTCTCACTCCTCACTCCTATGAAAATATGCATAATGTTTCATCCGATGTTGCCCCTCAGCAAGTAAAATTTTAGGATCAACAGCATGTTTTCCCTCTCCTTCAAACATTTAGCAACAACTTGAACTTTAAATTCTCTTGGTAAGTAAGGTAGATGAACGGGAGGTGGCTGACTATACACTATTTCATGTGGAATAGATTGAATCGCCCTATGAAAATTAGTGTTGTACCAGAATTTCGCTAATGGTAACCACTTTGACCAGCACGTAGGCCTTTATCCAGTCATATATCTGAGGTAAGTCTCCACACATCTATTCACAACCTCTGTTTGTCCATCACTCGGAGAATGATACGCTGTAGATGTATTCAAAGAACAACTCTGCAATGTGAACAATTCCTGCCATAACTCACTAAGGAACACTGCATCATGGAGAATGGGAATCCATGTAATTTGTATACTTAATCCAAGAACACCTAAGCTACAAACATGGCTGTATAGGGATGTGAAAGTGCCATGAATTAGCAGCTTTACTGAACCGATCAACAACCACAAAGATACCCGTTTTTCCCTCAGATTTATTTAAACCATCTATGAAATCCATAGATATATCAATCCATACAGCTTCAGGGATTGGTAATGGTTGAAGCAACCCTTGTAGAGCTACTGTCTCATAGTAGCAGTGTTGACAGATATAACAAGTTCTTAGGTAGTGTTGGATGTCTTTCGCCATTCCTTGTCAATAAAACAGACCCTTAACTCTATGTATTGTAACATCACAGCCGGAATGACATCCTTGACCAGAGCAGTGGAGCCATTCCAATATAGTATTTTCACATTCGTCATTGCAGGAATAACAATTTTTTTTCTTTTTCCTTAAGACATTCTGTGTGAATGAATAAAATCTTTTAGAATCCGGTGACGCTGTCAACTCTTCAATGATCATTTTGATCTTCGGATCACTTTCATAAATGCTTTGAATTTGCTTCATTAAATCGCATTCAAGCACAGTCACGGCCATATGAAATATCTATGACCCCTCTACTCTTGATAATGCGTCTGCAGCTATGTTATCCTTCCCTTTTTTTGTACTGAATCTCATACTCAAACTCCAAAATTTTAGAAAGTCATTGTTGTTGAATGAGAGTGTTCAGACGGTGTTCCAGAGATATTTGAGACTCCTTTGATCTGTACGATGATGAAATGATTTGAGAATAGGTAATGCCTCCATTTTTGAACAACAAACACTACTATAAGAAACTCTTCTCATAGATTGACAACGTCAATAGCTTCCCCTTCAAGTGTCTACTAATATATGCTAGCGGATGACCTTCCTGCATTAGCACTGGATCAATGCATGAGCCACACTCATTTGTTTCTACAATAAACTTCTTATTGAATCATGGTAGAGACAGCACAGGTGTGGAACATAAAGCTTGTTTCAACTTATCAAAAGCTTTTTGTGCTTCTACATTCCATAAGAATTTTTTTTTTTTGGTTAAGGCTGTTAACAGTCTCGCAATGACACCAAAATGTTTTACAAATCGTCTATAGTACCCAGCCAAATCCAAAAACCTATCAAAGCTTTCAAGTTCTTTGGTGTAGGCCAATCCCTTAATGCTTTGATTTTATTAAGATCTGTAAAGATGAATTGCGCTTCAATAAAATTACCCAAATACTCCACTCTGCAAGTCAAAAAAGCACTTTGACTTCTCTTCGCAAACAATCGATTCACTCTCATCAGCTCAAACACTTTCCTCAAATGTATTAAGTGCTCTGCTAAGGTTAAACTGTAGACCAAAATGTCACCAAAGAAGATGAGAACAAACTTACTCCATGTATTGTCCTATCCTCCCACCCTTGACAAAGAGGGTAAAATGAAAAGAGAAGAGGGCATATGTCTTCGATTGTTATCTATTTTTCTTTTAAATGTCATTTCACCTCTTATGTTTATGATTTTTTGTGAAAAAAATAAAGCTTATGTATATTAATCTACATTAATAAAATCAACTTTCCTAACTTGTAAGAACTTTATATTTAACTTTGAAATTCGTTTCTCAAGAAGATCAAAAAACCTACCAAATTTTATAAGATGGAAACTAATAACAAGATCAAAACTTCTAGAAGAAGTATCTAATGAAAAAAGATTTCTGTGTTTAAATTATAAAATCGATTTTTTGAAAGTTATAATTAAGGAATGTCTGGTTATAGTTTTGAGATCTGAATACAATGGTCAAAATGTTCAAATTGCAATTCAAAATTAGAAAATATGTTTGTTTTTTGTTGATCGAATAAATGTGTTTTAACTTTAAACTATAAGGCCATCAGCAGCGGTCAAAATCTACTTCGGTCTCTTTAACAAAAAAAAGTTATTGTTTTATTATGTTTTATATTTTTAAATAAGTTTTAGCTAGTAAAAAAGAGACACATGTAAAGCTAAGCTGTGAAAATGTCAACATCATCTCCTTATATACAAGCTTATATTCCCTCTCTCTTCGTTGATGACATTTTCTCGATTCTTTAATTTACTAGGGGTTAAACCCACATGTTCGTGTAACTATAACTATTTTTAGTAGGCTTTTTAGTGAATCTACGTCTGATCCATCTCCCACTCGTGATCCACCATTTATTCATTGTTTGGCTGAAGGGACTCTCCGTATTTTTTTCTATTCAGAGCATGATTATTCCTGTAACCCCATATGGGTTTCTTAATCACTTTTTAAATATTAATGGTGTTTTAAGAATTTATTTAAGAAACAACTAATTTGTCCTC